TGTTCCCTCAAATACTATCAGTACCCCCACTGTGCTCTACCCTCTACATCTCTTGACTTCTCCTCACTAGTTTGTGTCTTCCTATTTTCAAGGTTACTGAAAACAATCAGCTTCTCATTCTACTTCACATAAACTCATGTTTTTGTATTTATACTATTTCCTCCAAAATAAGACCTACCCCAGAAAACGATTTCTAACATGAATTTAGAAGAGACATCATCTGAAAATAAGCCCTAGTGTACATTTTAGAGTAGAACATGGTGACACAAACTGTGCTTATTTTCAAGGGGTGTCACCTGTAATATCATGTTAAAACTTGTTTTCCCAGTAGGTCTTATTTTCAGGAAAACAAGGGTATCTATCATTAGTCCGTTAATCTGTGTTATAGAGACAATTTTAAAAGAAAACTGTGTTTATATTTAAGATTTTATTTTAAGCTCTAATGTTTCTTTTTATAAAAAGCTAAATAAAATTACTTTGATCAAAATTAAAATTCTGGGACCAAGGATATAGCTCAGTGGTTTAAGCACCTGCCCGGTAAGCACGAGGTCCCGAGTTCGATGTTTGGTACCTGGGGAAAAAAAATTAATTCTTTTTATAGTAGCATTCCATTGATTCTCTCTTTTAAGTGCTAGCAACTCAGTTTTGAGTGGCCCAAGTTAATTTTAAATTAGAATCCTCATAGGTTAACTAACAGGATGCAAAAGGATTTTTTAATTCTTGTAAAAATATGTGCATATGTATCAGGGGATAAAGTGTGTTTAATAAATCATTTTTTAAAAAATAGCTATTTGTTTAGAGCTAAGATTTAAAATGTCTTATACCTAAACCTGTTTACTTAAATTGTTTAAAGTTTATTATTTGATTTTCACTCTAACTCATACTGTATGTGTATGTATGTGACAGAGACAGAGAGAGAGAGAGAAAGGGAGAGAGAGAGAGAGAGAGAGAGAGAGAGAGAGAGAGAGAGAGAGAGAGACTGTGAACCCAAGGTTCTGCCACTGAGCTGTTTTGAATTTTGAGGCAGGGTCTCACGATGTTGGCCAAGTGAGCTTCTGATGCGAAGCTTGAACTTGTGAGCCTCCTACTTTGGTCTCCTGAGTAGCTAGGATTACAAGTATGTGCTGTTTTCACATTTACTTTTGTTAAGGCAAGAGTTTAATGAGTCTATTATCTCAATGAGAATTCTTCTAGAATACCTGGTAAAATAGTGATTGTAGTATTTTATGGCTTTATCTTGGTATGAAAGAGGTTGTCACATTATAAAGATATTCCTATTCTAACAGGGGTCCTTAAAAATGCTAATTCCTTTTGAACTGAAAATACTATTAGACTTCTAACTATTATGCCTTCTAGGGAAAATTTACAGTGTCCTCCTTAAAACAAAAAGAAAAACAAAATTTTATTTTGACAATGTCATGCCTCTTTCTAAGAACAAATCCAAATTTTCTGATGATATAAAAAGACCTTTCTTCTCATTTATTTACACATTCTGACTTACTATAGCTGTATTTAGTAAGGCAATACATTTCCTTTCAATGTTAAGTGGGGTAAAGTTCACTTATCTTTCTAATCTAGGAAAATAATTTAACTCCTGTTAGCAACCTATGATATCCAACAGAAACACAACTGTACTTTGGAATTAGCATCTATCTTTGTTTTATAGTACCCTTATTTATCAAGGCAAAGCAGAAGTATAGTAAATATTTCAGTATTATATCCCACCAAACGATTTCATGCCAATAGCATTATTTTAAAATTTATTATTTGATGTTCACTTTAACTAACACAAATCAATTTTCCTCCTATATTGTCAGCCTGGGACATCTAACCACAAAAATCAAGGGCTCCTTTAGTTTCCATGTAGAATTGTGACAGACTTACTAAAAGAGAGTTCCAATAAATTACCATTTCATGTCATGTATAAGTTCATGTTTCCACTTCCCACCTTTACTGTTTTTAAGCAAAGAAGAATATTTAGACCTAAAACAGGGTTTAGTTTTCTACATTCCTTAAATAACTTTTAATGAATTAATCTGAGCCAAAATTTTACGTAAGATGATTGTTGGTATGATACACTAAAATGTAAAAAAATTGAAATAGTGTATTTTACATAGTAACTGTTCCATATATTATTCTTACACTGTACTGAACTGTGCTTGGTGTTTCTGCCCTGTTTCCATGCCATGTGAAGTAGCTCTTGTGTCTTCAGAGGTGTCCCTGTGCAGACTGGTCCTCAGAGCAGTAGAGCCACATTTTTCCTTGGGTACAGAGTTCACTGCATATGGAAAGGCTCTGGTATTCTCACTCTATTTCAGAGAATCGATCAAAGAAGTCTTTTCTCAGATGTCTTCATAAAAAAGAAAAATTTATAAGCAAAATTAAAAAGCACCACTATTATAGCTGATAGAGTCTTATTTAAACATAATTACGTTGAAATGACAAATTCATGTGAGGATTCAGCCTTTCTAATGGAAATCAAACACTCCAATGAAACAGCACTTGTATTAGGCAACAGTGATATGCCCTCATTGGTTGAACTATGGCATGTACCTGAGAACAAGTAGTACTTTACCCAACGAGACACGTATCATACACCACATAGCCTGACCACAAACTGCCAGCCTGTGTATCTGTGTGGGTGTGGTGGTGGACTCTAGGAAGCTGAGGCAAGACGATCACAAGTCCAGCCCATCGTGAGCAATTTTGCAACTTAGACCCTGCTCAAATTTTTAAAAAAAATAACAAGCCAGAAAAGAATAAAAGTAAGACAAAAGGTTAGGGATGTGGCTTGCTGATCAAAGGCCCTTCAGTCAGCCCCCAGTGCCAGAAAATGTGTCTCACTATTTGTCTCCAGTGAACATCTGATGTCAGTTCACATAAAATTAAATAAGATGCAAACTCGTGCTTAATTTGAAAAGATGAGTAAGTGAGGTTTAAACAGTTATAACGGTTTCTTATCCTTATGTATGCAATTACATAGGGAACTAAAGGTAATTTCTAAATATGAGAACATTTAGAATTTGTCTAAATGGAAAGCAAAAAGCACTTTCACATTGCCTTGAATTTGTAATCCGTATTATTCATAAATCCTTATAGTTTTTAAATAAAACTATGTTTTTGTAAGAATGGCCTTTTTGTTGGACCTCAGAAAAGTTTAATAATTATGACTCTTTTGGTGTTTTGAGACAGGTTCCGCTACATAGTACAGGCTGGACTTGAACTCACTTATGTAGCCAAAGCTGGCCTCGAACTTGTAACAATCGTCCTGCCTCAGCCTCCTAAGTGCTAGGATTACAGGCACACACCACTATGTCCAACAGTAATTATAACTTTATTTATTTATTTTGGCAGAACCAGGGATTGAACTCAGGCCCTTGCGCTTGCCAGGGAAGCACTTATTCCACTGAGCCATCTCCCCGGCCCCTGTAATTATAACTTTAATGTGACATTCTTGATCTAACTAATTTTGTTACTTTGGTTATGATTTGTATATAACTGATGATAGCAAATAAAATTCTAGTCCCAGTATAAGATAGATCATTTTTACTTTAATTCTTTATATGAACATATATCTTCAGAGGAAATATTTTAACATTGGACACTTTTGCTTATAAATTTCATTCTGTGGCCCTGAGGATGGGAAAAAGATAGGAAGACAGGGAGGGGAAGAAGAAAGAAGTGATCAAAGTGAGACATGTGAGAGTGGGCATGGTGGTGCATGCCTGTAATCCCCACACTCAGGAGGCTGAGGCATGAGGATCCCTGTGAATTTGAGACAGCACAGGCTACAAAGTGAGCTCAAGACCATCCTGAGTTGTCTGAACTGCATAAAGGGACGCTGTCTCAAAATGACCAAAAAAAGAGAGAGAAACATATGTATATACCAATTCCCACGATAAATGCAGGTATCAGGATAACAAACTTATGCCAATAAAAATAATAATAAATAAATAAAGGTATAGGATTATTATGCAAATATTAAAGTAGAAAAAATAAAATTCAATGTCCAGGTCAGGACTCTTTAAAAGGAGTTGGAGAGAAACCAGGGTAAATTTAAAGGCCATTTTATAATGAAACACAGCCATAAGTATTTCCAAGTACAATCAATCAACCTTTTCCCTTTTCTCAGAAACAATCCCACATTGCAGCTCTCCAGGGCATTTTCTAGGTTTTGTTTCTATTGGTTTTCTTTGGATTCTCCAGGTACAAGGGTTGACTTCAGCCATGCTAAAGCAGTAACTTTAAAGATACTTTCTAAGTAAGAGAGAACTGGGATTTGCCCTCTGAATATTTTCCTGGTGATGGAATTCAGAAAGCACAGGAGTCCATTCAGACTGACTGTGAGACTCAGACAAGTGCCTCCTGTCACCAGGACCCCTGCAGGGTGATAGGCTCCTAAGTTGATCCCAGCACAGACCCAGCAGACAGGGCTGATTTCCTCCTGCCCCGGCAGTTTCCCACAGGAGAAGTGACATCTACAAAAGTTCTAATCATTGTAGGTCTATTTTAAAGTAACTGGAAGTGGCATGACTTAGTTTCCACTCAAAGTCTAAAACTTAGAGTGATTCTAGTGTACTGGATACAAATAGTATATCAAATTCCAAAAAGAACACACAAAGCATATTAAAATTCACTTAGGTTTGGCTGAGTGTAAGAATCTTCGCCACTCTCTCCCACAGAGTGGCAGAATGTAAAAGATGGTCAGGCAGTGTAGCCACGAGGATGTTGGCAGTGTCCAGAAGACTGTCCCCACCAGTTCTCTTGGAATATTCCTTGGTGCTTCTGCAGTTACGCGCAGGTAAGCTACTTAGTTCGCAACACTGAAAAGTTCCTTCTGGAGCTGGGGAAAAAAAATTAAAAAGTCAGAGACTGAAAGCTAAAGCCCACCTGTGTTTAATCATTAATAAGAAGCCCTTCTGTGAACCCAGGTCCTGATTTTGGAATTTGGAATCTGACCTTTCCCTGGAGATAAACATCATTGTCACAGGGTGGAGAGGCTCACTCCTTGCTGGTCGCGTGGAGAAGCCCTTCTGGCTCCCCAAGGTGCAGGAAGGGCAGCTTCTCAGGATGATCCTCCTGGCTGTGCTCTTCCTCTGCTTCATCTCCTCATACTCAGCTTCTGTGAAAGGTGAGTTCTTCTTACCTTTTGTCTAAGTGTAATAGCAAACCTTGGGAGGAAGTGTGTGTGTGTGTGTGTGTGTGTGTGTGTGTGTATGTGTGTGTGTGTGTGTGTGTGTGTGTGTTGTGATGCCTCACTGAACAGTCTTCAATACTATGCAACTTTGGAATGTTTGGTAAAGCAAGACCATGTTGAAATGAAAACCAGCTCCAACTTTCCACCTTTATTTTATGAAAATAGAAATTTATTTTCATACCAGTGTTTCTTGCTTCAGTTTCTCATGGGTGGTCTATTTGTAAAGGGGGGAGAAAGATGCCAGCCATTGTTACCTGCTGCTGTTGGTTATGCTGAATGCAATGCTTTCATTTAAATTGTGAAAAAGGATTGAAAAATCTCGATTCTTAAATTGTTTTCTTTTTTTTAAATTTTATTTGTGTGTGTGTGTGTGTGTGTGTGTGTGTGTGTGTGGCCAGCTCAGCCCAGCAGGGGGCGGGGCTGGCTGGCATGTGGTGCTGGGGGATTGAACTGCGGTCCCTGTGCTTTGCTAAACTTGTTCTGAGTAGGTGCTTTAGACCACTGAGCCATCTCACCAGCCCCTTAAATTGTTTTCTTGTTGCTTAGCAATGTGACATCTAGAATTAGACCCAATTAAAAAGGCATTTAATTTGCTAAAGAATTTTGAATGAAATGCATTGAATTCTATTACCATTCAAAAATGATAGAATGACCTAGCTGATGAATTAAATAAAACTAAAACTACATGGTCTAGATTTAAGAATAAGACATTATCTTTGAAAAATAGCATTTCTAATAGCAGTTTCCATTTTAATATGAAATGATTTTAAAAATAAATAAATTGATAGCAGGAGAAAATCTCGTATTTTACAAGGAATGATTTCAGAGGACTGTATAAAGAGTACTGATATGTAGTCTTACCTTAAATCATGTAGATTATAAAGTTATAATCTAAGTTATAAGTTGGATTTCTGGATGTTGCCCTCTATAAAATTGGCACTTATTAGAGTCTCTCAAGATGCACTGTTAAAACCCATTGCTCTACCAATTTAGCATGTTAGAGTCCAGATTTTAAAACTCTACACAATTGATATGAAACAATTCACTTTAAATTTTAAAAACCTGCTTTGGATAAATGTGGCTTTTGATCATAAAATAAAATTTGTCTCAAGATTTTTTGTTTGGAAAATATCTACATGAGGAGAAAAGGGAAATTTTATTAGTGAAACAATAGAGGGATGAATTAAAATTATTTCATCTAAGCAAATCGCACTTTAAAGAGATAATACTTTCATCAGTTTATAAAATGGTTAGGATTTAAGGATAAAGATACAGTCTTTACTTGGATGAAAAACAATTAATGATAGAAAAGTAAAGATTTTTAAATCATATCTAAGAATCATGTAGAAAACACACTACCTTATTATCTGACAAACTGTTGAGTAATGAAAGTACAAGTGATATCAACACCACCATAACATAAAGCCATGATAATTTTTAGAAAAATAACTGAGATGAGCAGTTACATTGGGCTTTTTCTCCATTCTAGAAACTAGAAAATTGCAACTATGCTTATAAAGCATTTAAGCGCACGCGCACACACACACACACACACACACACACACACAACAAAGGCACATAGGAGAAGTATGGTTCAGTGCCCTACAGATAAACAAGCTCAGGACAAATCCAGACTTCCAGAACCTGAAGCTCAAATGATTTGGAGGCTATCTTTGAGAGAGGACCACAAAAACATCTTACATCTTCAAAGGCTGCTGATGCAGGTGGAGGTGTAGGAATACATTGTAATGTTCTCTGCCAAAGTCTTGCAAGTATTCTGGGAGAATAAAGGGCCTCAAAGCGTAAGCATCATGTGCTTCACAGTTTAAGTTCCTTGTGCTAAATATTATGGATAAGAAGTATAGGATAGTTTTCCTTACCTGATTGGGATAGCTTTTTATATCAATCACAGCAGCATGATTTGATGATAGACTCTCTGCCTTTACAATGATTGACATTTAACTCAAAAATTACACATGAAAAATCTACCTTAAAATGAAGCCATTCTAAATGTTGGTCTTCCAGGTGTCTAATTTAAATGACCAATGCAACTGTTCAGGAAATCGTAAGACCTGGGTGGGAGTTGAGAGCAGGTAAGAAGGGCAGGTATTGGAGGAGGACTTAGGATGAAGATGATTATGGAACATTAGGAAGAGCAGTGTGCCTTAGTTTTCATTAGTTGCCATAGTGAATCAGTCCTCAAGGTTGTGGACAGGTGCTTTCATTTCTGTCAGCTTTATCACTTCTCAACCTGAGTGGGCCCATGGTTCTGTCCAGTCTTAGTCCCTGAATCTTCTTATTTTACATGACTGGCCTCCATCCTTTTACCTCTGACCATCTAAGCAGGGTCTTTAGTCTCCATTGCTGTCCTTATCACTGTTTCATGCCCTGCCATGCCACACCCCTCCAGCTCTGTGCTGTGTTTTCTTCCTTAGGTCCCTCAGTAGGGCTACCGCGCTGCATTTTATTTTAGTTTTTAGTTTTTAGTTTTTTTTGTTGTTGTTGTTTTGTTTTGTTTTGTTTTGTTTTTGGCAGAACCGGGGATTGAACTCTGGCCCTTGCGCTTGCCAGGGAAGCGCTTATTCCACTGAGCCATCTCCCCAGCCCCAACCCCCGCGCTGCATTTTATAAACCAGTGCACTATCTTTATACATTTTAAAGCATTCAAAACTAAGAATTCATTGCTTTTCAGTCACTTAAAATTCTAGATACACTGAAGGAACAAAATGAAAAGGTAGCTTTTTCTGCCACCTTGGAGTCTGGGGAGGCCTGCCGGGAACAGGATTTCTAAAAGGCAAATATGTCTGGAAGACTGTGGGGCAAGGCCATTTCTTGCTGGCTATAAGTGGGATCTCCAGAACCAGAGGAAACACACAGCTCATTTTAAAATTGAAGGTGTTTATGCCCGGATGAAACAGAATTCTACTTGGGCAAGAGATGTGCTTGTGTGTACAAAGCAAAAAAACAACACAGTGACTCCAGGTGGCAAACCAAACAAAACCAGAGTGATCTGGGGAAAAGTAACTGAGGCCCATGGAAAGAGTGGCATGGCTCATGCCAAGTTCCGAAGCAACCTTCCTGCGAAGGCCATCAGATACTGAAGCCATGTGATGCTGCACCCCTCAAGCAGTTAAACTAACTAAAAAAAAAAGAAAATAAAAGTGCATTTGTGCTCTTATAAAAAAAATGAAAAGGTACTGATTATTTATTTATTTATTTATTTATTTATTTATTTTTGTCTTTCTGAGATAGCATTTCACTGTGTAGCCCAGGCTGGCCTCAGACTTGCAATGATCTTCCTGCCTCAGCCTCCTGAGAAATGGGATTACAGGCATGAGCTGCCATGCCTGGCTCTGACTCCTTTTTAAATAAAATTAATTTTTGTTTTGGTGTCATCTAACATAAGTCCCCCCACCTCCCTGCAACCAAAAGTTGAAACTACTGTGCTCTGATGAGCAGTACCCTAAAAAGGAAACTAAATCAATAATGAAATGGAACATGTTCCCAGTGCCCAATGTTGTGAGCTCCTTAAATAACACAAGCAGAGAAACGCTTGCCGAAGAGGAGAGATAGCAGAGACAACACTGTCACACACTACCTGTGAGAGCCCCTTCAGGAGTTTGAGAATTAGGCAAAACAGTGCATATCGGGTCCATTGAACAAGGAAGGAAAAAGCTTTGGGGGAACAAGGCCCTTTCTGCCCTGGGTTTTGTCACCTCTAACTTCTAGTTAAGAAGTGATCCTTTGTGTGTTCTTTTCATATTCTTTTGACCCATAAGGTTGTTACTTTTACTGTTGTAAGAAAAATTAACAACAAAAGGTTTTGAAAATTTTGGAATTTGATTACCTTCCTGCAAAATTTTCATAGTTATTTTAATCAAGAACTACTTTCCTGTAGTTCACAGCTTGGGTTTCCATAATTTAAATATCAAATTCAACTTTGTACCTGCCCCATTGGGTCAAACAGGGAATCTTCTTCCATCGCCTGTCATTCCTTACTCCTCTTTGAGAAATGCTGTGAAGATCGGCTAAGACAACATTAATTTCCTTGATACCCCATGGAGAGTTTGACAGATGTTTTGAGAAAGGCCTCTCTGGCCAAAATATCTTTCCCAGAAAAAAGCCAGCATTTCAACCCACTGAAGAGTGCTAGTCAGAATGCACTGGGTTGCAGGAGGGGATGCTGAGGACCACAGACACCCTGCCCAACAGGGCTTGGCCTCACTGTGCCTTCTGACTGTTAGACCTCAGGTTCTGCCTGATGCGGTGTTAAATACTTGCTCTCACTCTCTCCATCTGCACCTTCTGGAACAGGAGCAGCTGATGCTCTTCTCCCCACTTCCTCTTGGCTCTAGGAAGCTGCCTAAACTATCACCTTCTCAGAGGAGTCGCTCCATCAGAGCCCTGCTGTCTTTCCTGTTGTTTTCTTCATTGACATTCTGGTAGGCAGAGTAATGTGCTTACATTTTTATTGCCCACCATGACCTCATTTAAATATAACCTTCTTGAGGGTATAAGTTTTGTCTTCTTGCCAACTGATTCTAGCATAAGTCATCTAGAAAATAGCCTTCCGCCAAGTATGGTATTTACCCCCCTATTATTGATGACCAAATGAATTCCTTGTTCATTCCCTCTGAATGAAAAAGAATTCAATCTAAAGCCTTACAAGTATACTGTGTAAGTTATTTCTAGGCCTGGGTTCCATTCATGTTTCCACCACTAGTGACCTCAAGACCTTGGAAAATTGCACTGTTCCATTTTCTTATGAGATAAGTAAAAATACTTCCTGGCTCACTGGAGTTTCAAGTGTCAGTCAAATGACCTCAAGACGATACATTCTGACCCTATTTCCGTTTGAACAGTGGGTGCCTTAGCAGCTGGTGGAGCTTGTGGAACAGTTCATCGCAGTGAAGATGGTAGTGACTTTTTAGATGTTTTGTTTTCGGTTTTAGTATATGTGCTGCCCAAGCGAGCACAGATGTTTTGTTTTCAAAGTAACTTTTCTCCCTTGTTTTCAGTTTCCTCACTTTTGAGTTAGTTCCTCTGACCCTCTCCTTGCTTTTCTTTCCATATGCGCAGTTCCTGAAAGAGAAGAGTGAGGTGGTCCATGATGGTTGAGCAGCACAGTTCCCTGGACAGCAGTGCCTCCTTAACCCAGAGGCAAGATGTGTGTGCCAAGGCTCACTTGACCCTCCCTGAGAGCCATATGTAGAGAGCGTAGACAATGATATATGACCATAAACTTCAAGTCAGTTCTGGGGAAAGTTAAGTATAACTCTTCAGCGTCTTGGGATAAGTAGAACTGAAACTGGAGCTAGGGGAACATGCCCATATGTTAATATTATCAGTTTACAATACTGCTTTGGGTCCTATTCAGTGCTAACTAAACTGGCCTGGACAAATTTAAGCCTGTGCTGAGATCTTATGTAAAAAAAAATCTTCTTCAGACACAACTAATTTTAAATTTACCCATAGGAATTCCTTAGTTCTAAAAGCTTGCTTAAATTAATAGAGTAAATTATTAAATATCAAATTAGAGAATTGTCTATCTAACCTCTAGCACTAATTAGCATAATTGTTGACATTATAGATACACTGATTACAAATTGTTCTTATAAAATGTTTCTTATTAAAATTCATAAAATAACTCCTGGTATCACCTCTACTTGAACTCATCTTATTCACATAAATAAAAGTTATACAGTCCGGCATGGTAGCACACACCTGCAATCTCAACACTCCAGGAGAATGAGGCAGAAGGATCACAAGCTCAAGCCCAACCTGGACAATGTAGTGAGTCCCTGACTCAAAATAAAACTGTTTATGAAAACAGGGTTGGGGTTATACCTCAGCGTGAAGGTGCCAGGGCTCAATTCCACATACTATTAAGGGTAAAAAGAGTGAATTGATGGCTTTTTTTCACAAAACGTCCCATTGTTTAACCAGGGCAATGTTGGATAACCTAATAATGATTAGACAGGGGCTGGAGAGATGGCTCAGTGGTCTAAGGCACCTACTTAGAACAAGCTTGGCAAAGCATCAGGGACCGTGGTTCAATCCCCCAGCACCACATGCCA